AAGGTACTCTCGGTTGCTCCCACCGCCGGTCGTGTACGGTCACTACTCCAAAACGATGACATTGTCGACTTATATTTAAAAGTAGACGCGGTTGAAGTCATTTTTGTACCGGTGTAGTAGTCATGCTTGTAGGTAGGCATATATGGTGTCCGAGAAGTCTCCACACGAGCAGTTGTACTCTCCGTACATTTCATTGTGCATGGCGAACCAGAAGTCTCTATACAGCGTGTTGTGCAGAGCGGTCGAGAAGTTTCCGTACATTTTGTCGTGCACGGGAGCCGAGAAGCCTCTATACGGCGAGTAGTGCAGAGTGGTCGAAAAGTCTCTAAGCAGCGTGTGGTATGAAACGGTCGAGAAGTTTCCGTACATTTTGTCGTGCACGGGAGCCGAGAAGCCTCTATACGGCGAGTAGTGCAGAGTGGTCGAAAAGTCTCTAAGCAGCGTGTGGTATGAAACGGTCGAGAAGTTTCCGTACATTTTGTCGTGCACGGGAGCCGAGAAGCCTCTATACGGCGAGTAGTGCAGAGTGGTCGAAAAGTCTCTAAGCAGCGTGTGGTATGAAACGGTCGAGAAGTTTTCGTATATTTTGTCGTGCATGGCGGCCGAGAAGTCTCTATACGGTGAGTGGTACAGGGTGGCCGAGAAGTTTCCGTACATTTTGTCGTGCACGGGAGCCGAGAAGCCTCTATACGGCGAGTAGTGCAGAGTGGTCGAAAAGTCTCGAAGCAGCGTGTGGTATGAAACGGCCGAGAAGTTTCCGTACATTTTGTCGTGCACGGTGACCGAGGAGACCACGTCCGTTTTGTGCAGTATATGCGAATCAGTATGTCGAAGCTTGTACCGGTGAGCGCAGCACATGGCACTCGACGTGTAGCTGGTGAACCTTGGAAATTTGCCAAATCTTTGTGGTAGATCGTCTTTACGGTCGACGAACCATCCCACTGTGTTAACAGCGGAGTTAAGTAAGTCACGATACTTGCGGTGATCACGGTCATCTGAGCGCTGAATAACAGCAGTATAACTATTTTCGCAGACATCGATAACAGCAATCAGATATTGATACGAGTGAGAGGAAATATTATGAATAATAAAATTATTTATATTTTTTATACACGTAAATACGTTTGTATAGAAATAAATATAAATTGTTATATATATTATAACCATACCAACTCAGACTTTTTATTACAAACTTAAATATGTGTGACGCTATATTATGATGATAATTTCAAATCTCTACGAATAATTCATCCTGAATTACAAAGAAAAAACAAAAATTAAATTAATAAAAACATTATTTTCGTAAAATTTCCTGTATTTTACGGTTGTTTTCGGTATGCTCAATTATTAATATAACTACCGAGGAAATCAAAAATCTAATAACTTACTAAAATATGCAAAAAAAAGTCTCTGGTCGTTGACGTACAAATTTAAAATAATAAAATCCTTGTAACGTAATTATTGTGAAAAACTTCAAGGAAAATCAAATAGTAACTTTAATTCAAAAACCACATACAATTGTATTTCAGAAAAAATGCTACACTTGTAATTATTAGGAACGTTAATGTAAAAGTTCTCCTATTACCTATGAAAAAGAAAAAAAAATGAAACTCACGTTATTTTAATGATAATAAAATCTAGAAATTATGTGTTGGTATCTTTTCTTCAGTTACTAATAAATTACCATAATATATATTATTATAATATTGCAATTACAAATTTTCCATCTTTATTAACAAACAAAATATAAATATAAATATAAATCACGGTTATATACTTGTATAACCATGATATTATAATAATGGTGACTCGATAATATTGATTTAAAATTTTAACCAACAACAGTGCTCTAATTACACTGATTTGGGCCCGAGTGTAAATAAAATAAATGCCCCTCTCTCTCTAAAATAGAAAAATTTAAATATTGTTCAAATTTTATTTACTAATATCACTAAATTTTTTGTATTTAAGGAATTGTAGCTAAAAATGTTTAAAACATACTTTAAATTTAAAATTTTTACTCACACAGAATAAGTTTTACGTAATTAAAACACATATGTATTTACAAATAAACAAATGGAATCACTTTTAGCCTTTTTAATTAGTTTTAAACATAAATATTTATCAAATAAAAAAAAAAATAAAGCCTATAGAGTACATGAGATTCCAGCTGAATTGCTAAAAAACACAGACATAGGTATGAAAAAAAAAAACTGTACAAATTATTGTTACTGTTCAAAATTGTGACGAGTTAAAATCGTAGGCCCTTCATTTCAGAAGAAATCGGAAGTTTTTCAGTATCAATTTCTGACTCAAGCTCGATCTTTTCACTTTTAATTTCCATGTTAAATACTTGAGCATAATATAATGTTGATTTTATGACCTAAAATTGATAATATTGTGCGTACTGATTATAATATAAACAACATAATTTATGTATATAAGGCGTCCAAAATTTCCTCCACTTTCCCGAGCTAACAGTCTCCATTCATATATTTTCATATTATAACATTAAAGCATAATATAATAAATGTACCTATAGGTAAATAATCAAATCTTCTTCTTTCTCTTCTCTCTTCTAGCCACAAGCTTGCTTAAAGAGAGAGGTAATCAACCCATATTATGGTAGTATAATTTTAATTTGAAATTGTATTTATAACTATTTGAGCTGAATAAATTCTTATTATTATTATTAATTCATTTAGATATCTATATTGTGGTATTGTGAAACGTTTAAATAACTAACAATTATTTAAATGTTAAATGTAACTAGTGGCGTATTTTTAAAAAAATTTTAAAGTTTTTCTAAAAAAAGGGTGATTTTTTTATCATGAACCGAAAATTATTTTAGTAAGCATCTTTTCTGAAATAAAATAGTATGTGGTTTTTGAATTAAAGTTACTATTTGATTTTCCTTGAAGTTTTTCACAATAATTACGTTACAAGGATTTTATTATTTTAAATTTGTACGTCAACGACCAGAGACTTTTTTTTGCATATTTTAGTAAGTTATTAGATTTTTGATTTCCTCGGTAGTTATATTAATAATTGAGCATACCGAAAACAACCGTAAAATACAGGAAATTTTACGAAAATAATGTTTTTATTAATTTAATTTTTGTTTTTTCTTTGTAATTCAGGATGAATTATTCGTAGAGATTTGAAATTATCATCATAATATAGCGTCACACATATTTAAGTTTGTAATAAAAAGTCTGAGTTGGTATGGTTATAATATATATAACAATTTATATTTATTTCTATACAAACGTATTTACGTGTATAAAAAATATAAATAATTTTATTATTCATAATATTTCCTCTCACTCGTATCAATATCTGATTGCTGTTATCGATGTCTGCGAAAATAGTTATACTGCTGTTATTCAGCGCTCAGATGACCGTGATCACCGCAAGTATCGTGACTTACTTAACTCCGCTGTTAACACAGTGGGATGGTTCGTCGACCGTAAAGACGATCTACCACAAAGATTTGGCAAATTTCCAAGGTTCACCAGCTACACGTCGAGTGCCATGTGCTGCGCTCACCGGTACAAGCTTCGACATACTGATTCGCATATACTGCACAAAACGGACGTGGTCTCCTCGGTCACCGTGCACGACAAAATGTACGGAAACTTCTCGGCCACCCTGTACCACTCACCGTATAGAGACTTCTCGGCCGCCGTGCACGACAAAATATACGAAAACTTCTCGACCGTTTCATACCACACGCTGCTTAGAGACTTTTCGACCACTCTGCACTACTCGCCGTATAGAGGCTTCTCGGCTCCCGTGCACGACAAAATGTACGGAAACTTCTCGACCGTTTCATACCACACGCTGCTTAGAGACTTTTCGACCACTCTGCACTACTCGCCGTATAGAGGCTTCTCGGCTCCCGTGCACGACAAAATGTACGGAAACTTCTCGACCGTTTCATACCACACGCTGCTTAGAGACTTTTCGACTACTCTGCACTACTCGCCGTATAGAGACTTCTCGGCCGCCGTGCACGACAAAATGTACGGAAACTTCTCGACCGCTCTGCACAACACGCTGTATAGAGACTTCTGGTTCGCCATGCACAATGAAATGTACGGAGAGTACAACTGCTCGTGTGGAGACTTCTCGGACACCATATATGCCTACCTACAAGCATGACTACTACACCGGTACAAAAATGACTTCAACCGCGTCTACTTTTAAATATAAGTCGACAATGTCATCGTTTTGGAGTAGTGACCGTACACGACCGGTGGTGGGAGCAACCGAGAGTACCTTCGATAAGAGGTCTAAGTGCGCGTCCAAAATGTTGACTACCTTAATGTTTTCACTCTCCACTTCTGCTACAGAACCACTGCCCATGTATTATATTAACTTCAAACACAGCTACAGGTGTGATATTAAAGTGTAAGCTCACTAATAGAAACAGAGCGCTTCAATTACCTCAATAACATTTTGTTAACCTAGTGGCATATTTATGGGGGGAGCGGGATTCGGGTCTTGCCTCCCCCAGAAGAAAAAAAATGGTTCAAAAATCATAAACGACTTGCTACGAAGGTATAGAGAGATATTATATTAATTGACAGAGTGATTTTTTTTTTTTATTATAAACTAGTAATTATCTCGAAAGATTTTTAAGAATTTGATTTCTATTTTTTTAAACTTTTGTAGAATCGTTTAAGCTTTATTTTAAAACCATTTTTAATTTTTTACCCTTACTTCATATACCTTAAATAAGAGTATACTTTTGTTTTTCATATAGGACTCTCCCATTTTGAGCATAGATTCGAATAGAGTATATATTTCTAGGAATATTGATATGCATAACATTAATATCAGTTTCATCGTTTATGAGTTATAATTGTTAAAAGTTTAGACTGGAGAAGTAGAAAGTTTTACGGGTGCAGCCATTTTTGTAGGTTGGAAGTTGGGAAGTAGGATACAGAAGGAAATTTAATGTACATCTGTAAGCAACGATAGTCCATTGGTGACGAAAAAACGATTCTGAACAGAGTTCAATTGAGAGTGATGCTTTATCAATAATATATATATATATATATATATAAGTCATATTGTAGTAAAATAATTAAATAAGCATTATGTATTATTTTCTTTAATATTTGTTTAGTATTGGTCCAATTTTTCCGTTTTTCCTACGTTTTGCGTGGTTTTCTCATGTTTTTTTTTTTTAATTTTTCACATTTATTGAGAAAACTCTTGAGAATATCGAAAAATAACCGCGTTACAGTATCTCCCCAGTCAGATTTTCCTTTAGAAAAAGTGTTATTATTGTAAATCGGAGCAAAATCGCCGGTAGAAAAGTTGTCCACAGAAAATAAAAATCGTAATATTTTACTACTATATTTCGTACATTCTCGTTTTTTTTTTTCGTTTTTCACATTTGATAAGAAAACTCTTGAGAAAATCAAAACATGACCTCCTTAAAGTACCACCATTAGAAAATTTCCTTTCAGAAAAGGATCTACATTATATACATCGGAGCAAGGTTTCTAGAATTTTTGTACAATATAAAAAATGAAGAAGAAATAAGCATCTTTGTAAAACCAATTAATTTGTTGCTACACTCAGAATCTAAAATGGTTTTAAAATAAAGCTTAAACAATTGTACAAAGATTAAAAAAAATAGAAATCAAACTCGATAAAAATCTTCCGAGATAATTACTGGTTCAT